AGGAATTTTAAGTTTGGACGCACAAGACAAAAGTGAAATTTTCACTTTTGTGACATTACACATGTGGACCCTTCTTAATGACAAAACCCTTTCAGCGAGAATTTTCAACTGTGGCTGATAATTTCTCACCGTAATTTTCTTTAAACGGAAGGAAATAAATACATTTAATTTTAATATAAAAGTAGAGTTCGACTGACAACATGTTGGTACAAGTAAAATAAGTTTAATTTTTTTAAAATAAAATTTTAAATTTAAATCTTATAAATTAAAAAATAAGTGTGAAGAGAATTTTTATCTAATAAGATTTAACGTGATTCAATTTTGAATTAGTCGATATCTAATATAATTATTAAATATCAAGAGATTAATACTAAAAAAAATAAAAGTTGAATTTGAACACCACTAAACCACGGAAAATTTCTCAAATACATATTAAATAAATAAAAATTAGAGGACGGAATTTGTGAGATTCAATTAGCTGGAGCGAAGGGATGGTAATTTTTTTATCTTTTAGAGAAAAAATATTTAATTAAGTCATTAAAAAAATTGATATATAACCACATTATATAGATTATATTTTTTATTTTAAATTATATAATAAAAGATAATAATTTTTTATCTCTTAACATAACTTACTATATATTAGGTAATTTAAATTTAAGATCTATTAATTTTATGAAAAAATAATAATTATTAAATTACCTATTATTAACATTTGAACTACATGAGAAAAACTTAGCCACAAATCTATCCATTTTCAAATCTATCAATTCAAAACATATTAATTTTCAAACTCACAAATTTTAACCACAAATATCTTGATTCTCACATTTCTTCTTTTTACTATCTTAGTTTCTCTTGACTTGACCTTTTCATTTAATAGGTTTTTTTCTTAATTTACATTTAGCTCAATTTATTTTTTTTGTTAGGCAAAGTTTATTTTATTTTATTCAATTTAGTTCATTTTTTAGGAAAATTATTTAGAACTAACTAGTTTTTTTTAAGTATTTTTAATTTTTTTTCTAAATTAAAAATTAAATGAATCAATGTATTTTATATATAATCAAACAAAAAAAAAATTTGTATACCTTCACAAAAAGTCTCCATGCTCATTACACCCATCACTCTCAACCGAAATAAGAATTGAGAGTCTTTTCTACCCTCTGTCAAGAATTTCCACAAAGATTACCATATCCATAAAGGGACATTTTGCCATCCCTACAATTGCTAGTGATCTTCCTACACAAAAAAACACAATGAATTTTCCTTGAAAGCTTGAAGAGCTTTGAAACTTCATACTAGATTCTTTTGATCCGTTTTTATTAAAAAAAGAAAACTATAGATTTGGAAGCAAACGATAATCTATATATTTTGTATTGTATTGACTTTTAGACCTAACTTTTAGATCATGTTTAGTTTCTGATTAATTTTATTAATAAAATATTTATTAAAATAATAATTAAAAATATTATATAAAAAATTAAAAAAAATATTATATACAAAGTTAATAAATTATGTAATAAAATTTTATTGGGATTGTAATTTTTTTTATAAAAATTAATATATATATCAATATTGATTCTAAAAAAATTTTTAATTTTAATTTATATTTAAAATCAAAATTTTAATTTAAAATTTAAAATCAAAATTTAAATTTAAAATTTAAAAATTTATCCTATTAAATATTGATACTTAAATTTAAAAATTAATTATATACTTTAATAGAATTAATCTTTAATACAATAAATTATAAAATTAATGTGTGTCAAT